GAGGCGCGCGGGGAGGGCGGCGGGAGCGGCGCGGGAGCCGGCTCCGCTCGCTGCAGGCGTGTTGGCTCGGCATGTGTGAAAACAGTAATTAAGTGCGAGATGTGGGAGGATTATTAAAGGTTTTATGGCATCTAATCCTTTTGGAAACCTTTCTGTAGGCTGGGATCTGAGGCTGGAGCAATAAAAATGCAAACTACGCCCAGGCTCGGCCTCCTTTTCCCGGCCCGCCGCGGAGCCACCGGAGGAGGCAGCCGGGGCCGGCGCGTCATTCCGGCCGGGATGCAGCGGGATGGCCCGGCCTCGCAGCACCCGGCTGCACACGGAGGTGCCTTTTTTAATTAAACTCCCCGGCGCTGCCCTGGTGCTGCCGCCCTCGGCACTGAGCTGAGCAGTTGCAGGGCTGCGCGCGCTAGCGACCTTTGCAGAAATAAATAAAAAACGACGCCTTCCGCATTTCAAAGCTGGGAGTTTTTTTTTCCCTTTTCTTTTCTTCTTTTTTCTTTTCTCCCCCGGAATGGCTTATCTCCATGAAATTAGTAATTGGCGCTCCTCTCTGAAGCTGCTAAGCGCCAGCAGCCGCTCCCGCCCACGCGGCGCTCTCTGCTCTCCGAGAGGCCCCGCAGCCAAAGCAGAGAGAGGCTAATAAAAATAATAACATAAAAAAAAAAAGACAAGGTGGAAAGTGCTGAAATGGGGCTTTGCGTTGCCTCCCGCTGCCTCCCACGTTGCCAGCGGAGCAGGAGGGATCCCGGGCCGGGCTCGCTGCATTCGGAGCATCACCGCGAGCCGGGAAGCCTCTCCGGATGCCGCTTCCCTTGGGATCCGCAGCTCCGCGCGGAGCGTCCCGCAGCACCCGGCAGTGGGAATGTTGGCATGGGGCCGTTCCCGGCTGGGTGTGCTGGGAAGATCCCAATGGGAGCAAGCGGCTCCTGCTCGGGGCCGCACCGGCTCGCTCCTCGCTGGTGGCCCCGACGCCCCCCAGATTTTGCATTTATCCCAACACCGTGGATAGAAAAAAAACCCAACTTAACCAAGGGCTTTGGAAAGCACAGGGAAAGCATGGGGGGGCTGAGATGTCCCCAGGCTTCCCGGGAGCAGGGGCAGATGCGGTGCCAGGCCCCGGGGAAACGCTGTAATTTCTGATTCTTCTTTTTTTTTTTTTTTCCAGGCAAGCACAAAAATTGCCATGAATCGATTTTTGGCCATCAGGTTTAGACGGGTCATATTTGCCTAGCTTTTAATCCCCGGCGTCTGGAGCCGGCGCTTCCATCATGCCATTATGGGGCTGACAGCAGGGCCAGTGCCACGGAGAGGGAGCAAATTACCTAATAAATCAAGCGCCCGGGATAGGGAGCGGACAGCGCCATGGAGCGGGCGCGAACGGATGGGGACGGATCCGGGCCGCGCTCCTCGGCAGATCCGCCGCGTTTTAGCGGGAAGTTCCCAGACGGCAGGAAGAAAATGACTGCAAATGGTGGAACTTTGCGGCCTTTGCTGCAAAGCACCGGCTGCATCGAGGGCTTGTAATTAGCAGCTGCGCCGTAATTACGCCCCGCTTAGCTGCTTGGCTTTAATGTCGGCGCGAGGCAGCATCAAAGCAGGAGGGCAGATTCCGGCTCTGCAGCGCGGCGGCGTCTGGGAAGGAGCCGCTTCCAGAGGGTTGTTCATCCCGGACAAGCGAGCGCGGAGCAGGGCCCTGGGCTCCGCGTGCCGGGGACGGAGCACAAAGGAGCCTGCAGGAAGGAAACGCTTCGTAACCTCCCCAAGACGCGGGCTCAGCAGAAGAAACGCTTCTGATTTTTATCACTCGTGTCCTTTCAAGTCACCTACCCGTAACCTTCTGCATTTCCCGTGCTGGCATGGCGAGATAGAGCCGCGAGCGCTGGCAGCTCCCTGCGGAATTGCCACGGGAAGGCGCGAGGTTTCCTTGCGCCCGCGGCTTGCGAGGCCGAAGGCTCCTGCATCGCCCCTGCGGCCTGCCTGCCCTTTAACCCACCCTGCAAACCATCATTCCGGCTGCATTAAATTGTTTGTAATTGATAAATTATGCAAAAGCGCCTGCCGATTTGGAAGTGCGGAGCTGATAGCAACCCACCCGGGGGGACTCGTGCTAATTTTATCGGAGCCGCGCATTGTGCCTTGCCTGCTTTATGTGTGTTGTATTGATTTAACAAGGCTCCTGGGGGTTAGGCTGATTTTCTAATTTTATCCTGGAGATGGAATGAATCAGATGGAAGCACAATGCGCTCCTCGTGTGCCGCGGCGAGCGCCGCGATCCGCAGCCGCTTCCCGAGGCCCGGCCATGCGCCGGCTCCGCGTGCTCCTGTCCTGCTGCACGTCTGCAAGGGGGGATCAGCCTGGGGACTCTGATGGCCCAGAGGGAGCTGCATGGAGGACGGAGCGGCTGGAGCGGGATCTGTGCTGGGAGCATCACTGGGAGCATCCCTGTGCTGGGAGCATCCGCATCCTGGGAGCATCTCTGTTCTGAGAACATCCCTGTGCTGGGAGCATCCGCATTCTCAGAGCATCCCCATGCTGGGAACATCCCCATGCTGGGAGCATCCTTGCACTGGGAGAATCCCCGTGCTGGAAGCATCTCTGTTCTGAGAACATCCCCATGCTGGGAACATCCCTGTGCTGGGAGCATTCCCATTCTCAGAGCATCCCCATGCTGGGAGCATCTTTGCATTGGGAGCATCCCCATGCTAGGACCATCCATATTCTGGGAGCATTCCCATGCTGGGAGCATCCCTGTGCTGGGAGCATCTTTGCACTGGGAGCATCCCCATGCTGGGAGCATCCTCATGCCGGGAGCATCCCCATGCCGGGAGCATCTCTGTGCCAGGAGCATCCTTGTGCTGGAAGCATGGCCACACTGACACAAGACCCGCAGAAAAGGGGCCTTGCTCCTCAAAACAGTCAAGTCTTTTCTACTGGGGAGTGTTGCTGCAGTTGCTCTGATGATCCAAGGATGACACTGGCATTAACATTAATGTTAGCACTAAAAAGAAGCTTAGGAAAAGATTAAGGCTGTATTTTTCTTCCACGCCTGTTCAATTTTGCATGATAATATTCTATTGAGCGGATAAAGGAAGAACTTGACTCATGCATCAGGTAGATCTTAGCAATCTTTGTATAAGAAATCTTTCATTACAGTGAATTAAATGGTATTTCTAGTCCTCTTGCCCTCCCCAAGTCCTTTCATACACTCAGGGTAGGAGCATTAGAAGGTTATTACCTC